GACCTTAACAAATATGAAAAACATTATTGTACTTTCTTCTTCCTCTGATAATAGTATCTGAAGATATAAGCCTCTTACATAAGGGGATTTTACCTGAGTGAATCTGAGTGATTCCCAGAAATAGTGAACCTGAAAATGAAAGAAAAAGTCCTGTTTTTTACAGTCACATTTATGGATATCATTAACCTCAAACGCTCACGTTATTTTTCATCTTGGATAACTTATTGTGGGAGCAGATTAGTATGAAGTATGAACATGATTTTTCATCTTAAATATGTATTTAAAAAAAACAAAAAAAATCAAAAAAGTACATTCATCCAGCTTAGGTGTCAGAGATACAGTTTTTATGCAACCCTGTTACAGCAAGTCAGATCAGAGTAGATAAGATAACATGGATACATTACTTTTAATCAAGCCCCCCAAAAAAATTCAAGACCACAGAAATGTTAGGATAATAATATTTCTATATTCTTGTATTCATGTTTGTAATGTTTGTTTTATATGTATAGTAACAGGGTTTTGTATCAGGGTTGCAAGACAGTGCTATCAATAGTGTTTTCTCAGGAAAACAACTGTGGATAAATGAGTACAGTGCTAAAATTTTGTCTCTGTCCTTGAACTCTTGCATGAGTCTTTTCCTGCATGTTCAGAGGTAAGTCCCTTTCATTTTGGTAAATCCAAGAGGAACTGAACTTAACTGAACTGTGTTTTAGTTTCTTTGTCACATTTTACCATAGAGCACATTAAAACATCTCAGCACTGTGCACACTGTGATTTTCATGTAGTTTCTTTAAACATACACACACACACACAACAAAAAAGACTTCTTTATATATAAATTAGTGCACTTTTGTTAGATGACCCAAAAAACGTTTGGGTGCCATGGGTGCATTCTCCCTTTGGCTTCTACCATCCATTTTGTCTTTAATTGAATCTTTCCATGAAATACATTTCAAGTGACAATAATGTTTCAAAAAACTCAAATGTGTTATTTTTTTTAAGTGAAGCATCTCTCCGGTGCACACTGGTAAGACTATGAAATCCAGATTTTCTTCTGTTTTCTCTTTTTTTTTTTTAAATTTTTTTGTTTTTTTAAACCTGATTTTTTTTCTCCCAGTGCATCATATTTAAGGTGTAGCACCTGTGCTCTAATAAAGGCTACACTTCTGAGATGAGGCCCTAGAGTTTCTATATAATCAAAACCAAAAACTGACATTTTAAAGGACAAGGATATGAAAGATACGTTTCTTGTTTACTCAGTGCGTCTAGTTCTGCTTTTGTCCCTAAAATAAACAATTGTAGTTTCTTTTGAGTCACGTATCAACTGACCTGACCTTTGCATCATTAAACCTAAATCTGAAAGTTAAACAATAGCTTATATTTGAACAGTGATGAAATGAATTTAGCCACTTCTGCAGTTAACCATTTTTATATGAGAATCCATTTCATATATGAGAGACCTTAACAAATATGAAAAACATTATTGTACTTTCTTCTTCCTCTGATAATAGTATCTGAAGATATAAGCCTCTTACATAAGGGGATTTTACCTCTAACCTCAGTAAGTTGAACTGTGACAGGAATCTGAGTGATTCCCAGAAATAGTCAACCTGAAAATGAAAGGACAAGGATATGAAAGATACGTTTCTTGTTTACTAAGTGCGTCTAGTTTTGCTTTTGTCCCTAAAATAAACACGTATCAACTGGCCTGACCTTTGCATCATTAAACCTAAATCTGAAAGTGAAACAATAGCTTATATTTGAACAGTGATGTTTATAGCGACCATAAGGACCAACGTTCTTTTACACACGTATCAGAGTTCACGTTGACCCTATGCATAAATGTTTTCAGCAAAAATGTTCAGTAAAATAAATCTTTACATCAAAGTAATGGATTTAAAGCCTGAACCCCATTAATTTTCACTAAATATATCTTGCACATCTTTGGCTTGTGGAAAATGCCAAATAACTTTAAATGTATTATATTATAGACAGAAGTAGTATTTTTGTCCTTATGCAGATCATGTGATTTCTGTGAACTCAGCTTGATCTTCCTCTGTGGTGCCTCCCAAGTAAAGCTAGAGGGGCGGGTCTTTCTCACAGAGTATATAAATGTCTGAAACAATAGCACTCCCTCAGAAGTTCACATATATATCAGCTGTAAGTACAGCAATATTGTTTTGATATTCTCCTGCATGCATTATTGTTTGTCTTGGATAAATAATTAGATTTATGTAGGTGGCTGTTATTTATCTGTATTTTTTTTTCTTTTTTGTTATTATTGAGACAAAGATTTTGGATATACTTTAAATGTTTTTTGTTTTGTTTTGTTTCTCAAATTAGCCAATAGTGAATGCTGTGTGTAACTTAAAGGTTAAATCTCTAGTAATCTCTTAGAAACGATGGACCCTACATTTTGACTTTTGCTGAGGTTTTTGTGTGTCAGTTCAGGGGCTTCTGTCCTTTACCCACTGAGCTGCTGAAGGTCTGTGTTAAACAGAAAAAAAGACGTGTAAAGAATGGAGCTTATCTTTGGTGTATCTTACATTTTATCTCTTACATGTGTAATGTGTCAAGTGTAATTTACTGACCAAATGGGTTTTGTTCTGTAATAATAGAATTTGGCAATGTGAAATATTCAAAAGTTACTCCACCTTATTTATTCAAGATTAATTATTAAGTTCGTAAATCCAGAATGAGGCCAAATAACTATAAGATTAAAAAAAATACAAATAAGAAAGTGTGATTAATAATAATTATCGTTCTATTCACTTCAGATGGCCCTGGTATGCTGTTTCACAGAACCAGTCTATAAATAACTGTACTTGTGTTTTTCCTGCTGTAATATACCAGGGGCCTATTCTCAGTGGCTGGGATGTATACATGCCACACTTAACATTTTGAACAGCAGGAGAATAAAAACTGAACTATTTTCAAACTAACCCAGAGTGTCTGTGTTGTCTAGTCTAGACAAAGAGATGGACACTGAAGCCAGCAGAACGATGGAAATTGCAGCGCTTGGCCGCCCATTCAGCCTTGGGATGCTGTATGACTGCCGCCAGGATGTAGTCATACCTGGTAAGGATTCACAAGTATTAACTAAATGTAACTGAACCATAATCCACATTTGCATCACCTCTGTAAATAAGCAATTTACCTCTTTGGATTAACCAAATATTTATTCCGGTTCTAATATTTGAAAGATAAATACTTTTTTTTTAATAAGTATAATAGTGAATTGATGTTACACTTTATTAATGCAATATAATGTTGCTTTTTTTATTCTTTACCTTGGAAGTCCCATTAAGATCAAATCTCTTTTTCAAAGGAGACCAGGCCATGAAACACATGTATGACACAGACCTTAAACATCAGGATTCTCCTAGGAAGAGATGCTATACTTTACAAAACCTGCTGTGGAAAGTTTTTAGTTTGACCATTGTATTTCACTGACAAAATAACTTCATACTGGCTCATTTAGCCTCAAATCAGCCTCAAATCAGCCAATTATTAGACCATTTTCTGCTCGAACATTTCCAATTTGCATAAATATTTAATGGTACAAAGTTTGAATATATGTGAGTCCTGTGAAATTTTAGCTTCATCTATCAACTACTTTTCAAGATATTTTTTTAATGGTCCGTCGACCTACTTTCAAAACATTTTGGTTCATTTTGGGGAAGAAGGGAACAGGAGATTGACAGAATGATCGAGAAGCAAAGACAAAAAGGAAAAAAAAAGAAACACGGCAGGGTTCGGTGATTGAATCAGCTGTCCCCACCAATGCCAAAACCAAATCTACGCCCTTGCTCTGATGGGTAAAATTAAGTGCCAAACCATGCTACCTTCGTGAATGTTACCTACAAGCATACTTTAACAGGTAAAATGAAGTGGCAACCCGTCCTGGCTTTATGAATATGGGCTACAAGCTTACTCTGATGGGCAAAGTTACATGGCAAACCGTCATACCTACTTACATTTGTGCTGGAATTACTCGGACAGCAGAAATGTGCATTAACTACTTACG